GGAGAAGGAGGGGGAGGAGGAGGGAGAAGGAGGGGGAGGGGAAAGGGAGGAGGAGAGAGAAGACCGGAAGAGGAGGAGCAGCAGGAGGTGAGATTTCAGTGCAGAAAGGAGCCAGACTCTAACCCTAACTCCTTTATCTCCTTCATCCTAACATCCAATTCATCCCCAGGTCCCTTCCCACCGCTACTGCACTGAAACTTTTTATACCTTAACTTCCAACAGCCTTTATAATCTACCTTGACACAGGTTCCAAGGATGACCTTGCAACTTCCCTGCTCACAGCCCTTCCTTCTCCACAGTGACAGGGTTCTGGGATGACCTTGCAACTTCCCTGCTCACAGCCTTCCTGCTTCCTGTCACCCCTGGGTAGGATCAAGACTAAAGTCCTAACACAGTGCTTGGTGAACTCCCAAATCGTCCCTCAATCCAGAGTTCCAGCATTGTACCCCTCACAGTATAGAATTCTAGACGTATAATTCAACCCAATGGAATTATAGGTGATAGTTTTTCATAAGTGCCTATTTTTCCCCTGCTTAAAGTATCTTCCCTCCTCGTCACTATAAACTTTCACTTCACTGTAATTCTTTTCCATCCAGCACAATATCGCTGCCATGTCAAGACTTCCAGGCCTCACCCCCACCACAGCTATGGCAGATGAATTCTTTTGCTCTCCTGTATTTGCATAGAACTTGAAAACAGCACCTACCAGACCATGTTATAGTTGTCCGGCTATGGGGCCGTCTACCCCCAAAGACTGCACGTTCCATGATGGCCTTATTCAACCACAGTATCCCCAGCCCCTGGTTTGAAATAGGAAAGATTCTCAATAAATGTTAAAAAAAAAATGACAGATTAATGAACAGCAATAACATATTCCAAGCATCACATTTATCCCCATGATCCCACCAGCTGGGCAGATGTCATCCATCAAGCACGAAACGTTTCCCAAACCTATAAGAGAAATTCACCTGATTCTCGGCTGCTGCTGACCTCTCCTACCCCACGCCTCCACACAGGTCTCTCAGCAAGTTGAGGGCTGGCTTCAGTGGAGGAAAATAAATGGGCCTCTCCTTAGACACAACACAGCCAGCTAATTTACATGAGAAGGAGGTGCCAGGCCTCCTGCTTCTTGGACTAAGCAGAAAGAAGAAGAGTTCCAAAATGAGTTACTGCCTCCCTCAGCCTGGCCACTCTCTACCTTCAGGACCTTCTGCTCCTTGACAAAGGTTTATGTTCCAAGTCACAAGGTTTTCTGCCAAAACACAATGTGCTCTCCTTTAAAGGCCCTTGTTCCCACTCAGAAGTTTCTTAATCAGAAACAGTGACTAACTATTAAGCTCAAAATAAAGGAAATAAAATTAAATATCCCAAATGCTTTTTGCTGATTTGGGTTTTGGTTTCATTTCATTTTATTTTATTTTACAAGCCTTAGGCTTATGGAGGAATTCCCCAGTGATCAACTTCCCATTCTGTTGTGGAAGGAGAGACGTATAATGCCCAACCTGATGTTTAAATTATGGTTTCTCTAAACTGTATGCAAGCATTGGTGAATAGAAATGTCTCACGTGCCAAAGTTTAAATCTACCATGTCTGAACTATGAGAGATGGCTCCTGCCTGCACTGGTGTTATGATGTTTCCAGGGCCAAAGAGATTAGGGTTCAGAAGGGGAAAAAGTGATTCTGCCAACAGCTACATCTCTGAATGGATCCAGCTGCCCTCCCTGTTCATGAAAGGCCATTCTCTCAGTGGGCATCCTCCATCCAGCTGTGGAAGGGAACCCCTAGTATAGGTCCATCTAGGTATAGTCTAGAGAGCAGTCCAGAGAAGACAGAGACAAGAAAACGATAAGAATTAGGAAAACTAGGCAGAGAAACTTGGAACTATTAACACTACAACATTTAGCTCATTGTAGGGAACCCAGAGTGACCTTGACTCCCCAAAAAAGGTACAAATTATTCCGTGCCATCTTAACCTCACTGGACGAAAACAAAGTGTGAAGGAATAGACACGTCAATGTCTGTAATTTAGCGGGTTCCTGGCACAGAGGAGACCATACATACCTGACGAAATAATGTAACAGTTCGCACCAGGAATAAAATAACCCAACATTCACATTGTCCCTCAGGCAACTCCCCACAAAGAAAGTCTGGGTTTATTTTTAGCTTTATTTTGAAATAACTCCAAATTATAGAAGCTGCAGGATTTTTGCTGTTTGCCACATTTCTGTTCTCCTGTATTCACCTGTATTCACACACGTTCATTTTCCTGAACCATTTGTGAGTAGGCCCCTTTATGCTTATTCTTCCTTATTACTTCAATGTGTAGTTGCTAAGAACAAGGACATTCTCTTATGCTTACCAAATCCAGGAAATTCAGCCTTCATGCAACACTTTTATCTAATCCACAGTTCATTTTCTGCTTTTGTCAGTTGTCCTAATAACACCCTTTGTGGCATTTTTTCCGACAAGACCCAATCCAGGATCACGTTATGCACTTAATTGTCCTGCCTGGTTAGTTTCCTTTAATCAGCAGAATCCCTCAGCCTGTCTCTGCTCTCAGGGCCTTGACACTGTTGGAGAGCGGAGGGCAGATCTTTCCGAGAGTGGCCCTCATTCTGGATTTGCCTGAAGTTTCTACATGTTTGGATCCAGGCTGTGCCTTTTCGTCTGAATCTCAACATGAACGATACTGTGATTTTCTCAGGGCATCACCTCTGGGCTCAGACAAAGGCTGTTTGCCCCTTATCAATGATGCTAATTTTGATCAGTAGCTTCCCTGATGTATAGTTGGTGTTTTTCCCTTATAATTAATAAGTGGTTTGCAAGGAATACTTTAAGACCACATCATGTTAGCCCACTTGTTTAATAGTAACCTTTGTCACATTCTAAATTTGCAGGTCATTTGTTTTTCTTTTTCACTTTCATTTGGATTCCATTTCTCTTCGTGTTTATCCATGTGCTAGTTTAACAACATACACATATTAACAACAGAGGTTTCTGCAGTATCATCTGATAGCTGGAGCGTTATGTGTCTTCCAAGACCCTCCTTCTCTAGCTATCCTTGCATGCTTGTTCTCCATAAAAACCTCAGCATTAATTTCTCTAGCTCCAACAAAACAGCAGACTGATATTTCTTATTGGGAGAACTATTTCCTTAATGTTGTCAAGCTATTCTATCAAAAGAGAGTGCTACCTTTCCATGTGTTTAATTTTAAATGTCTGCATTTTGGGCAATTGTATATGTAAATTGTTTCATTTTGTTTTCTTTAGCCTTTCAATTTAAAACATAAAACCATAGAAAACAAATGTAAACCTTGGGAAATTACAAGCCAAACTCCCTTTTATCCACGTCAAGAAATAGAACTGTGTGAGCAACACCAGAAACCCTTCCTCCATTCCAGCCCCAGGTTCCTCCTCCCCCCAGCAGCAGCTATTGTCTTGAAATTTAGAGTAATCACTTCCTGACTTTCCTTCACGTCACTGGAGTTTAAGCTTGCCAATGAGAACAAGTTTCTGATATGTCTCTTAAGTCTGATTGTGTCTACAGATGCCTCCTCATCCTTTCTTTTCCATTCAGCTCATCTACTAAAGAAGCCAGACTGTGGACCTGGTGAGTTTCTGTGGTCTGCATTCCCCATTGGAGTCAAGATGCAACTCACTGTGCTCCTCCTGGAAATGGGACTTGCTTATAAACGGACAGCTGGACCCAAAGGATTGATCAGACTCAGGTTTGATCCTTTGGGCAAGATTATAGGTGTTGTTGCATTATTTTGTCAGGGAACAAAGAATGTTGGGTGTTCACTCTTTATTTAAAAAATAAGCTCGTGAGCTTTAAATTATTTTTTATCCTGCAATTTTAAAAGCAATATTCTCTCATTTTTGGTATTAATAGATATTGATGCTCAACGCTCCCCATCTTTTCTTTCAATATCTCTATAATCATTTTGAATGGCTAATGCTCATCATCTAGTTTGTGTATTTTATGGAAAGACAGAAAAGTTTTATCTTTCTATTTGTATATGCAGTTTTACATCCTTTATAAAGGTTAGAAGGAAGTTCTGTCCCTTCCCCTTTATCCATAGCCCATCTCTATTCTCCTGTATGTGTAATGCCACAGACAAAACTTACCTGTCTTGGTGGGAAGACACAGCACTGATTAGGATACCTTCCAGGAAAGTACAGAGTTTTATAGCCAATGTCCCCAAAGGGCTGCCATTCTCAGCTAATGAGCTCTAGAAATTTGGGGGTCTGGAATAGATAGTTTGTGTTTCTTTTCTTTTCTTCTTTCTTTTTTTCTTTTTCTTTTTCTTTTTCTTTTTTTTTTTTTTGAGACAGATTCTCAAGCTGTCGCCCTGGGTAGAGTACCATGGCATCGTCATAGCTCATAGCAACCTCCAACTCTTAGGCTCAAACAGTCCTCTTGCCTTCGTTTTTCTATTTTTAGTAGAAATAGGGTCTTGCTGTTACTCAAGCTGGTCTCAAACTCATGACCTCAAGCTATCCACCCACCTTGGCCTCCCAGAGTGCTGGGATAGCAGGAATATCCAGCTGTGTTTGTTTTCATTTGTTAAGGTTTACTGCAACACAGAAGAATG